CCTTAGTTTTCTATATTATTCAGTACGGTAGTTTGGAAAATATTTTTACTTAGACTCTGGGAGCTGTTGTTTCTCCAGGGCTTATCCTTTCTTAGATAAAGGCTTAAGTGTCATGCTGAATGAGAGAATCACCACCTTCAGAAAGGGAAAATGTTTCATGTCAATACAAAGTGAACATGCAATTTTAAAATGACAACAGAGCAGTGTTCCCGATTCTAATTAGTTTTCCAGATAATATTGGGCAAACTATTTGTCAGAAAGAAACAAAGGATTATAGGCTTTATTGAGAAAACACAGACGGTGCATTTAGGGCTGTACACTGATATTTAGATCTATGATTAGACTCTTATCAATAGACTGTGAATTATCATTAAGATAATTTCATTATTTGGGATAGAATAAATATTTTTAACAGTGACAAATAACAATCTTTTAGTAGAAGCCTATGAAAAGTAATATTAATTGAATTAGCATAAACAAATCCTTTGCCAGCTTGCAATATGACCATTAGATAGCTAATACATTTGCAAACATGATGGTCTGGAAACCTTTAAGATCTTGCTTTTCACTGGAAGATTCTGAGAGTTCATTTTGTCATTTAGAAAACTTCATATTAATGAATTTTCCATTTGTGTGTGAGATCTCTCTGCCATGTATACGAATCCATCCCCATATGACCAGAAGTATCATATGTGTAATGGTTCAGTTAAATATACAGGGCACTTTCATACAGTCTGAAGAGCTGTATTGTGCTTCCAAAACAATCAAGTATAAAGGTTTCTCTCAGAAACATGTTAAATGAGGAAGCATGATGAATCAAGAAATGTGGATGCTGTAGTGTCAAGAACACAGCGATGAAGCTGCCCCTAAATCTTTCATTCACAGATGAAAACAGCAAAGGCCCCAGGCTAATTAGCTGCTGGAGATGGTATCTCTCCCACCCACTGAGCCCAGCATTCATGCAATTAAGAAAAGAAGGAATTAGTCTATTATTGGCTGCAAAAATTCTCTGGAAGTAGAAACATAAACTTATCTATACAGTAATTGTGGTTATTTGATCATTATCTTTGCTTGCTGAGATAGTCATGGTTCAGAAACAATTCCTGTTTCAGTCCCTCTTTCATCCCTCCCCCCCCCACAAAAAATTCCTTTGCCCTGGTCATACAAAATGAAAAAAACTGCACAGATAGTTTTAAAAATGAAAAAAAATGTTGTTGCTTATATTTTACTCCCTAAAAAAATGAAATTACATGACATTGTTGTTGCTGTTGTTGTTGTGTGTTTTCAAGTTATTTCTAAGTTATGACAACCCTAAAATGAACCTATCATGGGATTTTCTTGGCAGGATTTTTTCAGAGGTGGTTTGTCTTCCTCTAAGTAGGAGAGTATGACTTGCCCAAAGTTTACTCAGTGGGTTTCCATGGCTGAATAGGGATTTCAATCCTGGTCTCCAGAGTCTTAGGGCCTTTGCAGACTGCCAGAAATAG